TTAATTTAAGTTACTATATTGGGGAAAACCTATTATTTACTATGTATACCCATTATGGTAACTTAATTTAAGTTCCTTAACAGCAACCCAGTTTAGGGTTGAGGGTTTACGATTTAGGGATGGCAGGTCTTTATCGAAGGACTTCTACAAACTAGCTAAGGAGGATGAATGGTGCGCATTATCTTTTACACCTACATCACTTACTGGTGGTCAGTAGGGAATACGTAGGGGAACAAGGGACTAGAATTCCAAAACACTCCATAAATATATATATATATATGAGCTATACTCTAAACTCCTAGTATCGCCCTTAATAACCCCTATAGTAATCCCCGACCTAATCCCCTATATAACCCCTTTCAGGAAGTTAGATTATAGCTCATATATATATATTATATACATATATATATATCTCTCTCTCTCTCTCTCTCTCTCTCTGTCTCTCTCTCTCCCTTATTCCCTACTGACGCCCAGTAAGAAATGGGTTGATGACCGGAACTGGTCAAGTTGCTTCAATTAGGCTCCTGGGGGTCGAGGGGATCCCTGGGATCCGCCTTCAGGATGCCAGATTCTCAGCTTAGGGTTCAGGGGTGTTGGGGTTTAAGGGTTTCGGGGTTTTTGGGTTTTAAGGTTTAAGGGGTTTAGGGGCTTTAGGGTTTTAGGGGTTTTAGGGTTTAGGGGTTTTAGGGTTTTAGGGTTGTATTCTCAATGCCTGAAGATGCTTTGGGATGTACTCTTTAAACCCTGAACCCCAAAAACCCCTCCAAAACCCCTAAAACCCTAAACGCCGGGGCAGGTTTGTAACCCAACTCATGGGGCTTCACTGTTTGAGGCCTGGGGCTAGAAAGTCGCGATCGTGCCAATGAGCAGCCGTACAAAATGTGGAACCCGTATGGCACCCCTTAACCCTAGACTCCTAAACCCTAAGCTCGAAACCCTAAAACCCATGACAGTTGTCTACGAAAGGCATCCTCAGGGTGTTGTCAGTAATATTAGGTGAATGTACGGGTATGGGCGCGCAAAAGCAGAGCGAAAGCAAAGAACTACTTTCAACCCGAAAACATCAATCCATATTAACCCTAAACCTTAAAATCAACACTTAGGCCGCCAGGACCTAAACCTTAAATCTACCCAGAAGCATGCTCTACCAGCCCGAGTAAGCCTTTGCTGGAATGGAATTCAAGTTCACTGACGTGCCAACACCATCCACAGCTGGTGGTGGTTGCCTGCCAGGCGAAACTTCGAGGGTTGAGGGATGTAGGACGCGGAGTATGGAGCTGATGACTACCATTCGCCTTCCAGAGATTTTGTACGGAACGTGAACACCCAAGAAACCTTAACCCCAAGCCCTAAACCCTGGCCCTGAACCCCAAACCCTAGACTCTAAACCCCAAACCCTAGACCCTAAGCCCGAAACTCTAAACCCTATCTCAGTATGAAAGGATTCCATAACAGGCAGGCTGCACGAACACGCCAACCTTTGCTTGGGCCTGCGCAAGCCGGTACTTGGCTTTCCTGCGTGGGATTGGGCTCTTTGCAGAATGCAGGAATGGTTCAGCCATAAGCCCTAAACCCTAAACCCCTAACCCTAAACTCTAAAGGGTTGTTTTGGGTACACTTATCATCTCCAGAGTTCCTGCACGGATCTGGAAAGAAGGTTCCTTCACTGTTCTTACGGTTTGATTTCCTACGTAACCTCCTGAGATTCGGTGTCTTGCAGTTCGTGTGCTTTCACGTCAGGATTTGGCCTCTCCTGCTGCAGAAGTCCGGCTTTGCTTTTAGCCGCAGGCCGTGTAGCCAGCAGAGACAGGCCTTCATGGTGTGTAGAGTTAAGGGTTAAGGGCTTGGTTTCCCCTACTACTCTCCTATACTAGCCCACCCCCCTAGGTTCCCCCTTTAACCTCATCTGAGCCTAATTATCCCTAAGTCACCTTTTCTAGTTAAGGAGGTAACCTAATGGGGTAAGGGTTTAGGGTTTAGGTGAAGAGGGGGGTAAGAGGGGGGTAGTTAGCAGAGGAACCCATGAGGCCTCTGTTTTCTTTGCACAGAGGCTCTGCACCAGCGGAGGCGAGAAGCACCGCGGTCAATCTCCACATGGCGAAAGTCCACCGACTCGAAACCCTCAACCCTAGACCCTCAGCCCCATGCAAAGCCCCAAACCATGAGCCCTAAACCCTGAAACCATGCCCCAAACAATGAACCCTAAGCCTTGAAACCCAAACTGCGAATAATGAGCCCAGCACCAAAAACCATGAAGCGTAAGCCCTAAACCCTAAACTCTAAACCCAAACA